TACAGAAAGGGGTTTGATCTCTTTGACGAAAAATACGAGCTAATTGGCGTATATTCCATCGCGGTGCCACCGGCGTTCGTTAGTCACGATATTCCCAGGAGATGTATCAGATTCTGGAGAACCGCTTTGAGAGATCGGAATTATTATCTTTCGCATTATTTCCTTACCGAGGCGACCATGCGGCTCGACCGATTTGCAACGATAATTGCAATCTACAGCATCTCGCATCTTTTATCCGCTTTCTGTAATTACGCGCGGGAAGAACGGTTTTACTGAAGTATTCAAAATTTTAGCTAGTTACAGATCTGAAAATAATTCTCGAACCATCAAAATAATTATGTAGGACACTCAAGAGTGATAATAATACTACAAAAAATTTTGGTATTCTAGTAAATCAGCTTAAGTGTCCAATATAATTATTATCTGTATCTATTTTAGCTAACTAAATTTTTAGATTTGGATCACTCAAACCGTGTTCGAAATTTTTGCGCTACTCTTATGTACTTATTTTATAAGTACATACATAATGTTTAAATATTTATTAAAATAAGTACGTAAGTACTTATTTATACTTATTTTATTATTTTTAATTATTTTACTAATTTATACTTATTTTACTCATTTAAACATTATGAGTCAACAACCGCGTTGGCTCTTATTGGCTTTTCCTCTTATCTTGTTTAAATTGCAAGATTCAGCAAAACTTGTTCAATGTACATTCGCGAAAGATATATCTATATGATTCGCAAAGTAATAAGTTAGTCATCTTTCGCATCTTCGTTCGTTTGTTTTCCACGGAAAGAAAAAGATACGCATCTGCACGAACTCGAGCGTTGAACTATTTCACGTACGTACCTATTGTCAGCTGGAATCATCGCAAAATCATTTGTAAAACAATCTCGTTTTTTTCCTGATTTAACAAGTTCTTAATTTACCGCGCCATTATAGGTGTTCCTTTCATCCAATCAGTCCCGCATGTACTCGTAACTACCTCCGGGGCCGAACGGATACGGCGAGACTTCGCATTTCCGGACGAGAAGCCCAGATATTTCAACGATTCTTCACGTACGCGTGTAATACATAATACGCGGACGTGTTCACGCGCGACGGCACGGTTGTCGAAATGTAGTACCGGTGTAACTAAAGCTAAACACCGCCTAATGAACGCATACGGGCGGCTCTTTGGCACAAAGGTTCTCTCGGCTTTATATAAAGCACGAGTGAGTTATTTACATTGTGGTCGACAGAATTTCAAGCTGCGCGAGGTTCTAATGAACCTTTACCTCCTCCACCCACACCTACCCCCTCCCCCAACTCCGCTACACATCGCGCCTGCCGCCCCCACGCACACATCGTCTGACCAAACTGGGCTCGTTCGGGCCGGCCGGCGTGTCGGGTCGTTAATTAATTAAAATCCCGAAGCGAAATCCGCATCGTCGCAAATATTTTAGATACCTCGAAAGCTTTATGAGGAAAATACTTCAAACTTCCTGACGCACCCCATCCCTCCCATTCCCCGCGCGTCTACGTCCACTCCTGGAGGGGAGGGGAGGAGGAACGGGGATTCATTGCGAATAGCTGTAGAACCTTCGCCGCACGAATATTTACGAAGGGTGGTCGCGAATGCGGGGAAAAAAAGGAGTATTTAATGAAATGTACGTACGTCGAGAGAGAGAGAGAGAGAGAGAGAGAGAGAGGGAGGGGGAGGGGAGAGAGAGAG